AAGGTGGTGACTGGAAAGAAGAAATGAAAATGGACTCATGAGTAGAGTTTTTTAAAAACAGACCACGTACATCTTATGAAACTCAACTGCAACTGTTCAATATAATGTGAAATACTACCAGAGAAGTACTGCACTTTTAATCATATATACCAAGTAGGTTATAGATTATATAACCAACATTAAAAGACAGGCAACAGCAATCTGCCAAGTTTCAAGACTGCCCTCAAATCACTCCTCTTTACTGACTGTTGACAGCAACAGTGCTACTGTTCTCAGCTGCTGGAAAAGCTAGTTTGACACACATCAGAATTGCCAGCTTCCACCAAAAGGTGATAATTACAGTGTTTGCCATTCAGTGATTATGGTAAGAACAAGGCCTCTTTCAGATGAGAACATGCCAAACAATCTCCATTGCTCCTGTAAACACCAATATATCAAATGTTTGGTTGGTAAGAGTCAGACTGAAAGAACTGATGCTTTGGCTATACAGACATTGGCAAGTATTTTGTCCTAGATTACTTTCTGTAGTCCTAAAATATATAATTTTCTCTTCATGGTATACAACTCCATCAAAGTTTTGGAGAGCAAATTTTACAGAACACCAGTGTGTGGTTTTATTTATCTCAGTGGAAGAGTGGAAGGAAGGACACACCAAGCTAGTATAGCCCTTCTCTGAAAAATATCACAGATTTCCAGCTAGTCCAGAAGCTCTGGAAAAGGGTTTACACACACCAAGTTTTTCAGTGCTTCAAGTGTACTTTGCACCTGATACTGTAATAGAATGCATGCACCCAGCACTGCACCCCAGCTGAGGAGGAGGAACTTAGGATGGTGTTAATGCCAGCTGCTTGTTACTCCAGCCAAAACAACCAAACAAGTGAGTATTTCAGTTTTGCTTAAATCACCACTCAGCTTTCAGTCACAGGGATCCTAAAGAGTGTAGACATGAATGGTGGAAGTAATTCCCTAAATTACTAGGACTCTTTTAGAAGTGACCAGCAATAGCTTTAGGCTTGCACTGTACCACTGAGGCTTAGTCCTTCACTTCCCAGATGCAAATGCAAGGCTGGGCTTACTGGGGAGACTAAGGGAGCTTTCATGGCTTGTGCTGTACTCCTGGGAGAGCTGAGGGGAGCAGCACCAACACAACTGCCAGATGCCAACCAGCCAGCCTCTTATCTCCCTCTCTGCTGCCTGTTACGTTCTTCCTTATTGATGCAATTGTGAATGCCACAGAATGGAGATAAGAACAAACGGACATCCAAGCATCTACACGGATATGGATTTGTTTGGTTACTTTTACCATCATATTTATTCACCTCCCTGTTGGAAAACCCCAGTTCTACAAAGATGGGGCACCTGAGAGGCCTTTTAAAGATTTTATTCTGTTATCAGTCTCATAGAAGGGTGAGACATAGGAGATGTAAAACTCATTGCCATTCTATTAGAAGACAACTTATTTCCTGATTACAATACCTTATAAATGTTTTGCAGCCTATTAGCTTTTGCCACACAATGCTGCTAATACTTTTAACAACAATCACCTATTATTTTACCTCATGTAGACTTGCTACAATGCATCTTTCACAGCTCTAATACTCCAAAATATCTGATTTTTGCAAAGCCATTGTTTGAAACTTGTTTCTAGTTCAAACTCCCTCTCAACAATGTAATTTCTATTCCACAGCCTTTCCAAGTCAGCACATCTTATCTCAGTTTACATACAGATGTACAAGACTGTGTGAGCTTTCAGTCAGGTTCTAAGAATCCTTTACAAATCTATTTCTCATATCCCTCCTTTTTAAAACCACGCACACATATTTATCAAAGTCTTGCACTGTTTTAAACTTACTATACTCAAACACTTTTTTTGACCCTTCCTCTTCTTTTCCCTGACAAAATTGAGAAATGCCATTTTCTTATCAGCTCAGAAGCACAGTACAACTTACCATAAACAAGTAAAGACAAATTCAGGTTTTTAATAAGAGAAAATAATCAGTGTAGTAACAAGTGTTTCTGGAGAATATGTTTTCATACATCGTGATATCTTATATTAATTAACTCTAAGTACTTACCATATTTGTAAAGCATGGACAGTCCTAAAATATCTGTCCTAGGGTACAAAGAATTTATATTTATTATTACAATTTGCTTGATATCAATACTATGTTGCAGTGATTGTTTGAAAATTATCTCTTTTAAGGATAAGAAATGTCTTTCTAAGCATAACTGAAAGATATCAGTTCATAAAATTTATTTCTCCACTGACCAATTTCTGTACTCTGCTTATTTGGAAAGATGATGTACTCATTGAAAGTAATGATACTAACTACTTTGCAAACAGTTTATGTTATGGTGATTAAATATCTTTCATAGCTCTGGTTGCCTTGTGTGTATGAACACACTAAAATGCAGGTACACTTTTCTTTCCTAGAACTAGACAATCAGTCTCAAGACAAATTAGAACATCAGGGAAACACCTTTTCAGTTAGTGTAAGAATGATCAGTAGTACCCAATACCAGAGGTAAAATGCATTTTGATATTAGGCATATATGAGATGTATGAAACCATTGTGTTTCCACTCAGCTGTATGGCTTCCTATACACTAGCAGGTCATACATGTCAATAGGCATACAATAAACAAACAAAAAAAGCAGTATGGTTATACCAATTTCTTCTAGTAAATAATTAAAACTGTATGGCATTTTTGGCTATCTTCTCTTTCTTACAATTTGCCCCTCCTGTTAATACCCAATAGCACTTAATATTTTGAACCTACACTTGCCAAAGGTATTGGTTGCCAGGTTGAAGCTCCAACTATAAACCGCATCCCTGTGTGCCAGCAATGATTTCAGTGACATAACCGTGCTACAGGGGTCTGAATTTTGCACTACTTTTTTCCTGAGGGGGAAGGTGTGATTTATAAAGTAGAATTCAAAATGTTTCCCAGCTATAACAACATTTCCTAAGAGCCACTGAAAAGACTGAGTTTGTGTGTAATTATGAAACACATCATCTGGGGATGCCAACTGTACTGAAATAGATGAATGTTTTTAACTCACTAAACATGTCTCAACTCAGCGGCATGCTTACCTAAAACCCAAAATGATGGTTTAGGTATGCAAAAATCGAGAGATAAGGTAATGTTAAAACCTTGCACGTTTGGGCTAGAGCAGTGAAGTTCTTGTGTTGCCTATGAAATTATTCTGAAAATGAATTGGTCAAGCCTTCTTCAAATTCAGCCTTAAAAATTTGCTACTGGAATCTATATTTAAATAAAGCTTTTATTAACCCTTTAATGAACAAGCTTAAAATGTGTTGACTCAAATACAAGTTACAAGATAAACCACATTTGTTTCCAGAAACTTTGGTGTCAGTGTTAGTTTGTTTTCTGGAAAAAGCATGTGCTAGTTCAGCATTCAGGAAATATTTTTTCCTTTTTTTTTTGTGTTATGTAATACAATATTGCCCCTATTTTTTGTCCTTAGATGTAATGAGTAATTTTTTTATAAAGCACAGAAATGCTTCACACTGAAATAGATTAGAAGTCATTCCAGTCAAAATCTATGCTGATTTTGTATCTCCTGTTTACTACAGCTGGTGACAGTATAAGCACCTGTGCTGCCTCCCACCACACAGAGACAACTCTAAACTAACACTTTAGAATATGATCTACAGCACCATATAAAAACCTCACTTGGCTGGTTAAAAAACCTCACTTCTTGAAGACATAAATCCACGTAAAAAAATTAGATCTTAGCATAGTGGGATAAAACACCATCAATATGGAAGGAATGTTTATTGCACTTTATTGTTTATTGCCCTTTATTCATCCTTAGCAAAATCCACACCAGAAAAACATAGCACCACTTCTTGATGCATTTCCTAGTTAACCATAGAAAGTTTCCTGTACCCTCTAGATAGTATGTGAATGCAATACTGTTTAAGAAATAAGAGACAGCAACAATCTAAGAGTTGAAGAGAAGCCTTTCATACAGTGAAGAACTAGAAAAAGAAAAAAAGAGTAAAAAGCTCCCTCCAAAGGTTTGCTTTCTTTAAAATTAGTTCTTGATGTGTGGATTTTTAGTAGGTGATACTACACAATCTAAAAAAATACTGCAAATAGTATATATCTACATATGTATTTTTATATGCAAGCAAATAAATCTGGCAAAAATAGAACATTTAAACTTAATATTTATCCTGTCAATCATAACTGCAGGCATAGCCATGAGAAAACTTTTCTGCAGCAGGCATTCAGTGTGCTCAAACTCTCAGTGCTCTTAAATTCCATTCACTTCCAGTGGTAGAGTTGGTACCTTTTAAAATTATAGTTTGTTTGTTTAAGAGTGAACAGTCACCATGCCAACCCTGATGAACAACACAGGACATGAAATAGCCTGTGGATTTGTCTCACCCTAACAGCTGGAAATCTAACTGGGGCAGAGGAAAACAAAACATGATAAAAACAACCATAGGAGTCAGGAGGGAAAACAAGAAACAAGCAGTATGAGTTTATATGGAAACAAACATAGACACCCATCCATGTAGTGTTTCTACCCAATACATTAGAAGAAAACCATTTTTCTGTTACCAGCCTGCTATATGCTTTCCCAAGCCACTGAACTCTATCTTTGATGTTCATGATAATTATTCCTAAGTGTTTGTGAACTACACCATTTAAATCCCCTCCAAACATCAGTTTATTTTCCCTTGTAACATATTCCTACAGTGTGGGATTATCAGACACAGCAGAGGCCTTCAGGCATCGAGAATGTAAATGAGCCTAATCTCAAGAAAACAAGATGTGCACTTAACCATAAATATTTTTTATAATCACATTAAACATGACATACCTGGTATTCAGTTTTACATAAATTAGTTGTTATGTCAGACCTACTTCTGAGGTTATCCAAAACCCAAACACGTAACATTATTTCTACTCTTCAGGCCTGAATAATATTTACAGACATTAATGCTATATCCAGCTCTACAATCATTCGAGACACATTATATAACTTTATTTTTTTATTTGACAAGCAGCAGTATCATGTTCGTCATTTTTTTTACATTTTAATGTAGATACAATAATTAGGTTATCTGTCATATTACAATATTTAGGTTTTTTGTGTGATTTTTTTTTTACTTTGTCTTAAGATACATTAAAAAACATCAACTGCAAACGTGAAAGGGGAGGGGGAAAAAAAAAGCATGGTACCCAACCAATTCTCCACATTTCAGCAATACTTCACTCATTCTTTTAGTAAAGTTTTAAGAAATGTCATAATGACATGAGCTTGAAATATCTATAGGCATTTTCATTGACGCTCATGACATGGCACTGGTGATGTTGTAAACAGCAGAAAAACAGGGGCTGCCAAGTGACCAAGAGGCACAGGCCTGCCTCTTCCCACAGGAACACACCAAACAGTGACAGCAATGATCTCCTTACAATCATACCTGCAGGACAGCACATCATGCTACATAACTGTACTCGTCTGCAGAGGCCTGGCTTCGCTCTATGTACTGTTTGTCTATCAGGACTTCAATACACTTCTTAATCATGCTGATACTTGGGTTAAACCTAGCTCTTGATTGGCTAATTACCTGCAAAAGAAAGACACAATTTTGGTGTTATTTTTATTTTTCACAGTTATAAATGTCATCTAAATATTTGCTTAAGGCTTTAAGGCAAATTCATTTCTTTTAAAGACAGGATTAAATAACCCTGGAATAGTTAATTTATAACAAACAAGAAGTATCTCTACGTATAAGTGTCAGGACACTGAAACCGGTCAGCTCACTGGTTACTTTGGCCACATGTTCCCCAGATCTCCTCATTCCTCTTGCTTACTTCATTTATCACAGTACAAATGAAGACAAATATCCATGTTAAAAATTAATCTAATATTAACACATTTCTTCACTACTATCACAGTGGAGTTCCCCTACCATTACCCTCCTTTCCTACACAATTGGAGAAAATCAGAATCAACTTCTCTTTCCTTAGTCACTGAAGACAGACCTACAATTTAGTGAGTTCCATCTGGCTATGCTGGAACTTTTTAATACATGCAGTAAGAAGTTATTTATTGTAAAAACAAATCTTTATTTACATTGTGGAAGAAATTGCTACTCAGGCAAAAACTTTAGATGTCTCTTAGAAGTTCTCAGTCTTGCCCATTCTCTTGTAGAGAAGGGGAAGAAACGGTCTGCACCAACAGAATGTGCAAATTGCTAAGTAAAATTATTCAAACAGAAAATCAAACAGAAGATCTTACTACTCAAGTATCACAATATATTTTGCCTGTAGTTTCTTATTTCTTCTGTAAAGAAAATTACTTTTATTTCAGCTGAATTTTCAGTTTTCTTTACAACTTCTCATGGCTGGCTTTGTCCCAGCTCTAGAGTTTGCTGGGGCTCTCTGTGAGCCAACAGAACTCACCAGGTGGAACTCACCCAGCAAAGCAAACAAAAGCCTCAAAAAGTGAGTTTTGTTGGGCTAACAGCCAAGGGTCTGGTATGTTCCACAGCAGCACAAGTGAGGAGAAACTGGGTGCTAACATGCTGATAGATCTGCTCAGATTTCACCAAACTTAGCCCTCCAGTGAAGCTGATTGTCATCACCACATTTCATGTATTTACTTCAGACAGAGAAAGCAAATAGAGAATTTTGTATTGGTGTGGATTTTCTTATTGTTGTTGGTTTTTTTAATCAAAGATAGTACAAGTAAGAAGGATAGACAGAAATACCTGATGGTCAGAATAAAAATTTTCTGGGAATGATTGTTCTGACATCTCCCTCCACTACTCTTCCAGTCTTACTCATTTTATAGGAAAAGCTACCTTGCCCTGCAGGGGACTGCAACACTGAGGTGGAATTGAAATTATCAGGGTGCATCTAACACAATTAACAATTCCACAAAGACCACATGCTGACATATACAGGTCTACCATGGGCCTGGATTATTTTCTTGGACACCTCAACCTAAATGAAATGTGTGGTGCTGTAGTGCTAGAATCAGAGCTAACTACATTAGGGTTAGGAGTCTCTCAAGTACCTTTCTAACAGTATAATCCTGCCCTTATAGCTAAGAAAAAATACTAATGGGGTGAGAAAATATTAACTATTCATAGTAAACAGACTTCTTGCAGAAATATTTGTTCTTACTCAAGAAGTCAAACAGCACATTTTAACTCATACATTATATATAAGAATATTAACAGCATGATAAAAATAACAGTGGCACCAGAATTAGTAACAATATCACAACTATACTCTCTACCTAGTTTTTAACTGAGTAACCATGAAAATATCCACCTTTTTTGCAAAGCTGATGAAAAAGGCTGGAATGTTACTATTCTGCAAGAGCCCTGCAAGAGCAAAAAACAGCAGGGGTATGTAAGTGGCCCTTTCATTACACAATGGAAGAAGCACCCAGAAAGTATTTGTGTCCAAAACACAGCAATTTGTAATCTATTTCATGATTATAAACTGGTGTCAGGCCAAGTACATTTCAAGAATTTTTTCTAATAAGTTGACAATGGGCAGAAAAATGTATTCTCAAAGATTAAAGGGCTTGCCTATCATTTTCTAGTTTTAATTGCAAATTCTTATACAATTTCATCATAATTGCACGGATGTTTTAAATAATGGGAAACCAACAAAACAAAGATTCTGAGAAAAATCAGGACCTATATTGCCTCATCTTTTAGATATTCAAAATCAGATTTCTCAAATTAAGCTTGCTTTCAGACTCTGTGTAAAAACACTTCTTCAATATCCAAAATCTTTAAGAGGTCTCACACTGCATCATCTGGGCTTACAAACTCCCTGCTGCTGCTAGGTTTTTTTTTCAGAAATAAAAATTAAGGAGTGGGTGTGGTAAACTGTTTCCTCCATCACCACAAATTACTCCATGTTTCTCAAATTACTCCACCTCTATGCTCAAAATCGTTGAATAAAACAGGAATCTCAATTCCCCCTCCCACCAGTATTCTCTGAGGCTATCCAGCAAGGCTCAGAGATGCAAGAATGAATTATACTGAAGAAAGAGCTTTGGAAGGCTGAGAAAAGCAAAACTGGCAACTGGTTGGAAGGAGCAAATGTTAGGCTGGAATGAGAAATACTATTAGGCAGGCAACGAGCAGATGGGAAAGTGGGAAAAAAACTAATGAAATAGCACTTCCTTCCAAGCCAGGCTGTGACAGTTCACAGGTCATTAATCTGGAATCTAAAAAATCTAGAGAACTGTACCGCTTTGTGGAGAAGGGAGATTAAAAAGTGCATGTCTCCATACTCAGACAACTTTTAAAATTTAAACCATGAGTTATAATAAAATAATGATTAGAGCACAGAATTGGCTAAGTGCTTCTGTGGAAATTCCATACTAGAATATCCCTATTCAGGTTTTCAACTGAACTCATAGCTCTGGCAATGATTTTTATAGGATACAACATCTCTTGGCACAGAACCAGCTAACAGCAAAGAGCAAGAACTTAATGCTTTGGTGCTAAGACACATTTATGAGATTGAGGGATCCCAGCTTGTGCTCCAGTACTGCAGTTCAAAATAGACTCCAGGGAAATTCTCACTAATTTCACTGGAGTACTGGTTTCCACACGGTTGAGTTTTGTAGTCTGATGTTGTACCCTACTATGCTGAAGGTTTTAACAAAATCAAGCTCAAGGACTTTCTCTCACCTCCTGAATAAGAGCATTATGTCTCAGCACTTTACGTGCCTTCATGATACGGACTATAGCAGCTTGAAGATACATTTTCCTGTCTTCATCCACAGCACTTCGGGTCTGCTCCATCTCCTGCCACACAGGAACAACAGGCATGCTCAAAACACAGTAAGACCAATAAAGACTGCAAAAAAGTATCTTGAATCTCTTTTTACTTTACTAAAAGTGGTGAACTAATACCAAAAAAAAAAAATGCAGGTGTAGTTCTATTCCAGTAAAAGTATGTCCATAAATTAAGGATCTCAGGTTTCATGAAAGTCAGTAGGAAGGTAGGAGACAGGCATCTAAACCAATATTTTTGCTAGAGAGAAAAGCAATCAGAACTGACTATATTGAGTTTGGCAGCACATACCTATCTTGTACAAAATCCTGTGTCATAGGAGATACACTGAGAACATGGATTAACAACACAGGAGTTGATTTTAGTTGCCAAAGGACACAAAACTATAGGAAAATAGTTGGTTGATTCTGCTGTTCTTGCAGTAAGTTCCTTTATAAACACCAGCAACAAAAAAGTCTCACAACATAGACTAAACATCAATACCATTTGGTATTACCATTGTGTTTATCTTTTTCTTCTACTTCTTGTTCCCTATTCCATCTTCTCTTGCCTATATTTCAAGTACAAAAGAATTGCATTGCTTAAGTTTTAAACCTACAAAATTTCTTTTGCAAATCTTATGGAATCTGATATCTGCTTACACCAAACTAACACAGTAAATTCCATTTTAGAAAAATAAGTTTTCTAAGCTATTCAGGCTAGAAACACTGAAGAATACTTGCCTGTGGTGTGTCTTTCTGCATTGATGTGGTAATTTTAAACTTTGTTCGTTTACTGCTGAAGTTCATATTTAATGAAAACGTAGACTCTGTCTCTATGTCTTCCTGCAACACAGAATCATTTTTAAAAATCAGGAATGGAACCAGAAAATAGTAACAATTTACTTTGAAAAGTCACAGTTAGAGTCTTACATACACAGAAAAAAAAATCAGATTTGTAGCTGGAAATTCTAAAATGCTGCTTGAACTGGGTCAATTTTTAAAGCTAGTTTAACTGACCCAGAAATCAAATCTATTTCAGAAAACACTATTGAAGCACTCTGCCATACAAGAATTTCGTTAGGAAGCAATTTCTCTTTTAATATTTTGATAGCTTATCTTAGTTGTAAGCACTTCATTTAAAATCATTTTTTCCCTGCAATGAAAGTAGGATTTGCATTTATCTATGACAGGACCTCAAAAGGGAGCTGATGATTTCATAATTTTTACAAAAGCTGTCTTCCAGAATTTAAGGAAAAGCGTCTAAACATTTTGATATGTTATAGCAGAAGCAGCTGACAGACTGCAACTTCTACAGTGCACATCGACCTGCAGATTTCAAATTTTTTTTTCCTGTCAGAATCTTGATTCTTTTCCACATATATATGTGCATATCTTTATTATTATTATTATTTCAATTTTTTTCCTACAATAAAAAACACCTTTACATTCAACACAGCATGATTGGACAGAGCTCTGCAGTTTCCAGGCAAGAGTCTGTACAAGTATCACCAATTTCCAGTAGAATAAAGTTACTGGGATTCTGAGACCTTGGAATCTTGCCAAACTGTCTAAAGCACTAATATTTTAGGAAACACAGAAAATATTTATCTAAATATACATTCAAACCAATATTAATTCTAATTTTGTATCTTGCAACAAATAGCCTCTGTTACAGTATATATAAAAATCAGGATACCAGGCATAGTATAGGAAATACAACATGAAATGGGAAAGACCTTGAAAAATAATAAGCTAACAGAAAAATAGGCTAACATTAACTTCTAGCATTATTCTGCTGACATTGGTGAATATAAACAAAAATCAATTGTGTATTGAGCATGAACTCAAAAAGCATGATTCGAATGAACCAATGAAGATTTTGAGATGAAGCTGCACATGCTCTTTCTCCCACACCCGTTCACAAAATGAACAAACAAGTAAAAGCAAACTACAACATTTACTGCACTGTACTTTTCTGTTTGGCTCAGATACAGGTAAAGAGAAGTTTGTGTATTGAATTCCACTGCTTAAACCACTAAAGCTCACTTGTTTATTTAATAAGTAAGCTGATAGACTGTCTACAGATCTGCTATCACATTGCTGGATGGAGTGCAAAGAAAACAGAAATAGTAAAGACACTTGAATACAGTAGTCTGGAAGGCAAAGAACTGGAAAATGCAGCAGTAAACATTAAAAAGTAAAAGGGTTGGAAAGCTGTATTATTCCTTCTTCTATGACATAAGCTTTAAGAAACTGGGTGAACCTCATACAATGGACATAAATAAATGTAAATCCTTTAAATAACAGGCAACGTTTTAAGATTGTTAAAGGTCTCACTGCTTCCTGTAATAGCTCCAGTGTTTTATCTGACCCATGGTTTAACAGACATCTTCTCAGCAATTGTTCCAACCTGAGCTCATTTCTAGATATTGGAAGCATGTCCTATGCTTCAGCCAAGCACCAGATCTTCCTTGTGATCTCACTTTCCATTTTCTAAAATTTTCCTGGTTAAAAACAAAAGCAGCTGTCAGAGCAGCTTTGGATTTCTTCCTCTAAGTGAATTGAACAGCTTATCTCAGTTCCTTCTGTCTGATTCTGTCTGCATAGTGGGCTTTCTGGGTGAGCTGGAAGCACATGCTATGTCTGTATGGGATGCACAGGCTCTTCTGCAGTAATTCTTACTTTACTCTGTTAAGTCTGTGCCCCTTGCTGTACTGGAAAAAAGATTTCACAGAGGCTATACAGAAGGATGAGAGGGTCAGAAAAAGAAGTATCAACCATTGCCTGAATCACAAACAAAGCTCAGATATTACTGGAATTTCAAGAAACTCATGGAATGGTAAGTCTGGCAAACTGCAGCAAAAATCCTCTCACAGAAGTCCTCCTTGCTCTCTTTGTGGCTCCTGTAATCTGTCCACAAGGAAGAACATGGTTGCTCTTTTTTTCAGTCTCTTAATCCCACAAATATTTTTTTAGGATCACTGTAAAACTCTGTTTTACTACCCAGGCTCCTTCCAGTGATTCAGTACAACTTTGAAAGCAAGGCAACAGAAACAATAAAGAATCTCTGCATTATTACCTTTTCATGCTGCTATAGACATAGAAAGCCTGTATGACAGGCACTCTACCTCCTCCTCCTCCTGTCTCTTTCCTTATAAGTAGAGATTTACAATTTTTCACAAGGGTCAAAAATAAAGCTTAGAAAAATAAAAGTAAACAATGGATATTTTAAAAAAGTACTCAACAAATATCAGAATGACAAGACTGAAAACATTAAACTTTTTAATATCATAATGGCATACCTTGTCTGAGTCATGGTTGATCATTTTGACATCAAGCAAAGATTTGATGGTTTTTGTCAGCTCCTTCTCATTCATTTGTGTACTGTCCTGAAGCTCCTTGTAAGTGACAGTCTCACTGTTGTTGAAGGCAAGCAACACTGCCATTTGGTATGTTGTGACCATGGCTACGTAAGGTTTGCACAAATAATTCATTTTTACTTCACCTGTAATGATACAAGTGGCATTTTATAAACAGATGAAAGGTGCTGAAAAGTCATCTGAAGCCTAACTATCAGAGCTCCTCATACATTTCCAGACATTCAACCCAAGTCTGCATTTAACACTTGAAATGGAACAATGACAACTGATGGTGTGAATTTACACATATACAGTGGGGCCTGCAACAACTGCCCCACCCTGATTAACTATGCATACTAGACAAATAGTGCAAGATATAATAATAATAAAAAAATAAATTCCAAGTAGCCTCCACACATTGCAATGCATAAACTTCAATTAACAGCTTACACAGAATCTCAGAATACTGATTAATGAGGAAGTTGATTAAAGGAAAAATTTAAAAACAAAGCAAAATACTTGTCCATCAAAAATTTTTCATATTCTTACATTTTTCAAATTCCCATGAAAAACAAAAAGCACTGAAGAAATCTACTTGAAAGCAGATTTAGATTTTCTGTGTGAAGGTGAGTGTGAGTTAAGAGCAACCTCCTGTTACCAGAACTAGATTTTCATTATATTACATTGTCATGGGCTATGGTTTTCATCTCCATGTGGGATGTGGCAGTGCTCAGTTGTTAAAGCCTGAGACTGAAAGCACTTAAAATAAAACATGATTAACTGACACTTACTAAAATAAACACTTGACAATAATAAATAATAAATACTTAAAATTATGTACTTATGTAGATACTCACATACCTGAGTAAAATCGTATAATATGCATTCTTAAAATTATTTATGTAGGGAACATCTATACTACAGAAACAATTCCAGGGCAATTGTCATTAGCTCAGCAGTTCTGCAGTGCTTTTCTGCAGTTAAGAACATACAACTGTAGTTTTACTTGGATTTAGTAAATCACAAGTTTACAAGACATGGATTTTGGAAATTCTAAGTACTAAATATTAATTTATAACACAAAATACGTCCATTGACTTTATATGCAAAATAATGCTCCAACTCCCCATGTTTTTGTCATTTGAAAAGAACTTTTAGCAAGTAACTGTTAGATCATAAGTTTATAGCAAAGCACTTATTTTTACCTGTACAAAGATAATGTAACCAAGTAAGCTTCCTTCCACTAAAATGCTGACTGTAAAATAATTCAAACTGCAAAACAAAATGAACATCAGTTAGTCACACATATAACTACTCATGAAAGTTTATCATCACCCTACCACCCTAATGAAGAAATACTGGTTTTATGTCCATCACACTGGATGAAAACATTGCAGATCCATTTGTGACAGCATTTTCCTTTAGAAGATGAGTGATGACTGAATCTTAAATTTAAGGTCTACCTCTGATAATGAGAAGAACTTTAGCAGATTCAAAAAATCTTTCCCTAAAATGAGATCCAACTCCCTAAACCCCACAATGCCAACCCTGTGTACACACACCTATTTGGCTTATTCTGATTTGGTCTGGAAACTGATTAACACTGAAGGAGAACATAAAATCAGCAAATTTTGATCTTTTTAGGAATTAGGTGTTTCTCCACCCACAAGCTTGCACAGTATGAAAACCAGTATTTGTACACCACTCAGATAAATATATATTCACAGGAAGCTTCCTCAGTCTCAGAAAAAGCTGCTGAAGAGGTTGGCCAGCTACACAGGTACTCTCATACTTTGGAGTGCAACTGCAATACTTTTCTTTTTCTTTCTAAATCCTTGCCAGAATCCTAAGAGAACTCTCTCCATGGGCCAAATCATCAAATTGGACAGTAAATAAAGACATTGTCAGACAATTTTCAAAGACTCCCTCCTCAAGGTCATGTTCTGATTCTTTAGGGAATTCTAATTCAAAGCACTGATCTCTACCTAGGTCACACATGAATAAGTTTGCTCCTTTAAAATGGCAAAATGGTGAAATTAGGCAAGCAACCCAGACTCTGAGCTGCTTCTGACACACAATTCTGTACCAATTTTCCAACTGAGGCACAACTGACAATACTCCTATTTTAACCCACAAAGACAGCAAAATCTCATCACACCTGGTGATCCTGTAGTCTGGGTCAGAAGCTATTATATTGCCAAAACCAAGTGCCACTTAAGTGAAAATTAAAGCTGAATAAGTAGTCCTAATATTCAGCAGTAATACAAGAAAAAGACCCTTCACCACAGGAAAAAAGACATTTGCCATTGTAACTTACATCAAATAGCAAGGTAAGGTGTAAAAATAGCTATAAAAATCTGTTATGTCCAATAATACAAAATGTGTATTACCTAAATTGTACTTCACCATCAAATACACCTTAGCAAAGATCAACACAAATATTTTGTTTTTCAACAAGCATGGTACAGGAAACATTTAGAATACAATAATATAATCAAAAGCAACACAATACCTCTACAAAGCAGAAATAATCACATAAGAAGAAAATATTTGGCTAAAGCAAAACCTTAACTGCTTTGAGAAATCATAAAATGAGCTTTAGAGAAGTTTGCATGAAGCCTGACTTTGAACAGTTTCTATGAAACAGGGAACAAGAAACCTGTATTTGCATCTTAATCTGCTATTAAGACTGTTCAGATTTAATATTAGAAACATAATCTTCTTTTATCTAAATATTAAGTGTTGGTTTTGAAGCAAAGAACCAACATAGTTCATTTGATTGCATTTATTAGCATATCTTTTGGCAATCACAAACTATAGAAGAGATGTGAAAATGCTACACAAATACATACATAAATTTAGTGACGTATTTGGCTGACCCTTCAACATTGCATATGGACTGGAAACATGATAGACATAATTTACAATCAAGGTAAAGCAGCTCAAGTTTTTCTCTGTTAGACTGATGATTTTTCATTTGGAGTTATTTTACATTTTCCACATGTTTACAGGAAGCCTCCTACTAACCTACCATCTGTACACTTTTTTCCAGTTCCTGAGGAATTGCAAATGTAGAAGAAGGAGCCTGAGTTAGAGGCCATGCACCAGCCTGAAAGCATTGGGAAAAACAGAAGCATTAACATTTTCACACAACATATATAGTAAGAAAAAAAATAACACTCTTAAGTGGATGTATAGTGTGCATTATGTCATAAGACAATCAATTAACTCAGGAAGTTTTACTGATCATTTTTTAGTGCACCTTCTGCACACCCCACTGAGGTATTAATTAAGACTGCAATTTTATATCACTATTGTTTAGGGACCTAGTTGGTTGATTTTACAAAGAAACACTAGGAAAATAAGTAATTCTACAATGATCACAGGCCATAAGTTCCCATATAAAGTAGTATTCATAATTAGAAAAAACTGTATGTTTGTTATCAGAACATAAAAAAATAAATACAAATAACTCAGCAGCAATAAACATACATTAGTACCTGTAGAACATATATCTGAAAACTAATTCCCAAATCAATGATTGTGTCCTGGTTTTTGATAAAGTTGTTGAATTTGTTGTTGAGATCAGCACTAACACTCATGTCTGTATACATTCGATGGAGCTTGCTGGTAAATTCATAACCACAGGCTTGCTGTGAAGAAATATTGTAACAGGTTTCAAAGTGAAAACAGTACTCATCATATAAATTAGGTTCCATCACTAATAAATATGAAAATCTAGTCAGCAGAAGTGTTATATTTACAGAAAACACTAGTTATGATAAAAACCAAACACTGTAAAATAAAATTATATTTATCTTAGTTTCACCTTAAATACATTAATCTATTTGAAAAATATTGTTTTATAAAACCAAAAGATAGACATGTTTATGGAAGTCCTTGGTTCTTTTTTAATGTTAACATGAATGACTTGAACACAGCTAAAAAAATTATCCAAAACCTCACTAAAATCTCAAATGCCTAGGTGATACTCAGCCTTTTATCTTTCACAGAATACCAAAACACTGGCTTTTGCTGTCAGCTATTGGAAACAGATTTACCAATTGCTAAGTTACCTCTGGCACCCTCTGCTGCTCCCTCTCAACACTACACACTCCTATTATTCTGTGTTAGAAGAATATTACCTTACCTTTAGTTTGTTTATCATCGCTTCTTCAGAATCCATAGACATAGACAAACCATGAATTAATCTTTTTGCCAACATTCTGGCATAGAACTGCATTAAAAAAAACCAGAGACAAGGATTTTAAGAAGCGTAACCACATTCTTCAAGTAGACTTTAGATGTGACATTTAAACCATTATTGAATAGGAAAAAAGTTACCTTTTGGAATACATCTTTGTCATCAATGTATTTGAACACAGTAATGAAACTTGTAAGCTTGTCTTCTACTTCATTCTCTGTCATTCCTTTTGCTGATTTCTTTAACAAGTTGTCACAGTATTTGGCCAGCTCAAGTTAAAAAAAGAAAAATCAAACCTAAAACTACTTGTCAAGCTTGAGAACAAATGTATGCCAAGGTATTTCCAAATTTATACAATAGTTCAAACATGAAGTAAGTCACACTCTACAGTCTCACATTGAATACAAGGGCTGCATTCATGGGTAAATGATACATTCTACACCCACAAAAAACACCATACCAAAAATTAGAACCATAGCAACTTTGCCCACTCACAAAATGTGTGTGCAGTTGAAGCTGTTACTATTAAAACACACACCTGAGTGTGACCCAGTGTGAGAGCTGGATATGCATGTGAAGGACCCTATGGCCATTCCTTTGATGGTTTTATACAAGAATTACTTTGTGTGCATCACTTACCAACTCAGGCGCTTTGCAGATCGACTTGGGCTCCCGATAGTTAACTACTGATGTCAAAGCCTACATAAAACATGGAGCAAAGAGAAAAATGGTCAATGACTTAAACCTTTTCCTTTATGAAATTTGAAGAAATCAAAAAAATCCTCAGGGCAAAGACCATCTGCGATCCTATAAAACTGAACTACACAAGTAAAACAAAAATAAAAGTGAAACAAGTCATAAAAAGGCTAAATTACTGCTCTATGAGAATTTGGTTGTTAAACATTTTCAAGTTGAGAATTAAGTAAAAGTAGAAAGAGTAGAAGAAGAAAAATAATTACAGAAAACCAAAGAACAAATTAAGTTCTGATTAGAAACTTCACAAAAGTATTATGATTGGTATACAGCAATAATATAGTCCAAAAGATGGAAAGAAACTAAGGAGTAAGTGCAGATAGAGTCGATTTGAGCAGCAGCACATCAACAGCATGTATGTTGAGCTGAAAAACTTATATGAAGTGTTCACAACAGTAAGAAACAAAAGTACTTTTGGTTGTTGGATTTTTTCACACACTGAAAAGGAGAAAAACACATTGTTGAAAGTGGAAATTTGGAGTAGTAGAGTACAAACAACATGATGGCTGAAGAAAACCTGAATATGATGAAAAAGGAAAGAGATAATGGCAGTTTAGAAATGAAAAATAGATTATCAGAATAACAGAGTTTCTAAACTACATGTCACATTTAAATTAGTGTTGTAAACTAACAGTGAATCAAAAATACTGCATGACCATAGTTCCCAGGAATTATAGTTCCTCTGTAGAAGGTAAATATCGTTGTTATTATTATAAAGACAAACTGACAAGGAATTCTGTACAATACCTCAAGATTGCAAAATTTGCTAATAGGTCCCTAGAATTCCTCTGAGAAAAGAATGCACAACTTGACAAGAAATAGGAAACTTTAAAGCTTGGAGCAATCTTTTGCAATAATACTGGAGGCAGCAATAGTGATTTTGATAGTCACCATCAAAAATTAACAGCAAATTAATATTTTAAGTATTTACTGTAAGAAAGATCAATTAAATCAAGAACTGATGTATTTAGAAAAGCCTATGTGCCAGCAAATGAAGTTGTCAGTCTCGTGTTACTCCACCTTCTGGTACATGACATTAATTGCAATGGAGAGAGAAATGTATTTGGTATTGAAATATTTGTTTTAAAATGCTAAATAATTATTTTATCAATGTCACAAATACAGATGGGTAACTACTATTGGTGCCATCACTGGTACCTTCTCCATTATGCCTCTTCAGGTTAACTTTGACTGATAATTGTCAAAGCTTAGACTCTGACATTGCACAAAGTGCAACTACTGCACACACCACAAAAGAGCAATGAACTGTATGTGTGCATCCTGTGAGGGGAAATTAAAGAAAGAAAATATATTTATTCATTATAATTAATAATGATTAATATTAAAATTCATGATAATTAGAAGTGTTATCTTGAATACATGCATGGCTATGCATTTCAAATAAAAGAGCAGCAAGCCTCTTTCCCTATATTTGTTATTTAAATTCAAGTGCAGCTCTCTCCTGGAAAAAGTTACCTATTGTGGCAGTGATTGAAGTAATGTAAGTTTCCAGATATTCTTGGCAGTCAACTTGAAAAATCTAAGCAAAGATTCTGTGGAAGTAATACCAAGAGCATTCAGAGATAAAGATTATCTCAGCAAGCAAATTCAAGTTCAAATGCATGCAAAAATTACCAAACCTCCCAAACCTCACCAGTTGCCTATTTATCATCTGCACTTATATTTGCACTGAATGGATCAGCACTATTTTTGTGTTTTGAAATATGATGAAAAGAAAGGTCTTTCTTTCAGAAAACAAGTATTAAAATGGTCTCCTTTAATTTATCTTTTCCTTTACACTGTATTGTCTTTTGCTCCATTTCATTTCTAAACTAGAAAGACTGCATATGAACTATCATTGACCATGTGTTGATGCTATGAAGAGTTTTGGTGAGCCTGAATCAGGGTTCTGGATTTTGTTTTCCAATGCTTTGTTTACTTAAGTAAAAATTACCTTGTCAAGGGCACTCATAAAGTGTTGATCACCATTCAAAACAGTGTTGATCAGTTGAACAAATTTACTATGTACTTCCAAAACTGACTCCACAAACTGAGTTGGCATCTAAAGAGGGCAGATAAAACAGAAAGTAAGTTAGTGAGGAAAGTAGTAGTATCTAACACAAACATATCTACATTAGTTGTAGATTTTTTACTGATTACTCTTTTTTGAGAAAGTTAATACTACAGTGAATTTTGAGAGGATGGATTCTGCTGTACTGTCACACTATGATGCTAGAGCATGTTTTGGAAATAAAAAGTCTAGGCTACATTTACAGTCCTGCTATCCAATCTAGATCTGAGTCTATACTGTTCTCATGCCATCTATGGATGATCTGGAAAATCTGGATGATCCCTTTAGATTTTCCTACAAAGGGCAGTTACCAATTGAATTTCATGCACCACATTCCAGCATCATATTCTGCATAGAAATGACTGACAGGAGCTGGAGGAGTCCCTACACAGACAAGCTGGCAGGCACAAGAACAACAGTGAGAAAGGCATTGGCTCTGTAGCATAACTCCCCAAGTACATTCTCAGGTCACACATTTAAAATGTTTCCAAGTACATAATTCATACAATAGAATGAGTATTTCACACTGAAATTATCTACATAAGGCTGTGACTTGTCACCACCCTCATGGGTCTGTATTTGTTTCTGTGAGTAGACACTACCAGTTTGAAAGAGTAAGTTCAATAAACCTAAAAATAATTGGACAGCAAACTATACTACTAAAGACTGCAGTATGCACACTGAAGTTACAGTGGAGGCACAGAATAGCAAGCATTCCTGTGCAGTCAGTAACAGAGTGAATGTACAACAGCTTCTGTTTATGCATTATTATAGACAGAAACACAGGATAGCTGAAGTCACCATCCCAAAGTGAGCACAGATCTAGACAGCAAGATGCACACATTCATAAATACAATGTCAAACAAAGGCTTGTGGTTTGTCTCTGAACAGCAATGCTGGAGAAACAAAAATGGAATTGAGTAATTTAAATAGACATAAATGGAAAAAAAGTTTAACACATTTTAATAAAATAAATAAGATAATAATATTTTCAGAAATTACCTGACAATATAAAGCAAAATTACTACAAAGCTATTATGAAAACCAGCAGATTGAAATCAGGACAGGATGTCAAGTCTTTACAAAATGGAATCACTGGCTTCTAACATACCAGAACAGCAAATGCCACTGACTTAAGAGAAATTCAGGAGAAAAAAAAAAAAAGCATACATGGAACAAAAGGACCTACTTGCCCTGGTAGTATTAAGCAAACAACAATGAGAAATATCTAGCTGCAGTTGTTTCTGGTTAGATCACAACAATTACAACAATCAGCTCTCAGGATAGATAATGTGGCACAGCTAACCATGTTGATGAGAAGTTACAACTTATCCATCACATTCCAAACCAATTTTATGCAGGCAAAATGAAAAAAAAAAAAACAACAAAGAGGATCAAGAATATTAATCAAACAGTCATTTCAGTTGCCTGAGGGAACTCACATTTTCCTGAGAAAGATTGCTGGTTGCTCTAAGGCCCTCATCATGGATATGGTTTTGTAGTTCCTGAATCATATGAGGTAAACCACTTGACACAGCACGAAGCAGAGTATACATATTTGCCATGTCTGTAACAGAGATACATTTTTATAGAGTACACACTTAGAAACACCAAAAATTAACACTTAATATAGCACCATAATTTCAAACAGAACTTTCTAAAGACTGAAACAAGACCATCTGTTTTGAAAGAAAAAAAAATTAACATACACTAGATCACTGAGAAAAGAAAAAAGGAAAGAGTAGGCCTATTATCAGTGTTTACTGAGTCCTGCCATTGTGACTACCTCACCCTTCCAATACAGCTTCTTTAGGAGAGACTCTAAGAAGAGAGGTGGGCTAGTGTGGAGCAAGAGTGTGCCAGTTTATTTTAAACCCTGGCCTTTCTTAATACCCCTTGGCAGCAGCTGACTAAAATCAGTTTAGGTATTTTCTTGACTTTTTATTTGCCTCCAGTGGTAGCTTGAAATTTTTCTCAGGTGAAAAAGGCTCTAAACAAGCAACTGCTATTTTTATTATATTTTGCCTCTCTGCACCCCCAAAAAAGAAACCAAACAAAATAGATGGAAACTCTGATCAATTGAAAAATTCCCCAGAAATTGAACCATTATTAGCTACAATTTGAGTCTGACTGTGAAAAATAATTTGTTTCACATAAGAGATACCATCTTTCATGTAAGAATAAGCATTCTTTCAAAGGTAAGAGGCATGTAGTCATGGGGAAGCATGTTTTTTTAGTCAGGCAGGGAATACAACTACAAGAGCATCTCCTTCTGTAAAAAACATTTGGGATGAGAGGTCACAAAAGATTCAGGACAATAAAAAGTGGCTACGAAAAGATGCCAAAATATTTTATAAGCCTGACCTCTTAAGTGACGATGAAGAAATCTGTTAAGACAGAGCCATTGGTTTACAAAGGAAAACACAAGCACAAAATATTATCATTTCTACAGGACACAGGACTTCAGTGTGTTTTTAAGATGACTAAGACAAGGAAAGAGAAAGAGCATTACCTGAAAGAAGGATTGTTAACAGTAAAACAAAAGGTTTTGATTATATACTTGGAGGAATAAAAATTAGTTGCATGCTAAAAGAAAAATGTTATTCAGGGTTTAATGGGGATTTCTAAATAAGTAACATTAGTTGAAAATGCTTATATGCACAGAAGGTCATTGAAAAAAGATAGGAAATTGCAGTGCTAAGTGAACAAAAAACCATTTCAGCCTTTTTGTGACAAGTGAGACTTACCACTTCTTTTCTCTTGTCTGATAATATTGTGACATTCTGCATGTAGAAACTGCAAGTGATCAGCTACCATCCTCTGCTGGCATTCATGAGTCACTTTGCCATATGAGCTGGGATTCAAGTACTTCCGACACCGCATTTCTTCATCTTTTAATCTACCTAAAACCTACACAGAAGAGTTTAAACTGCAAGCTGAAGAAATGCTGACAACCTATGTAGCACCAGAATATACAAGAGTGTATGTATGTAAAATGGTAAGTAATAAGAGCTACAAAAGAACTTGTGCGGGATGAAAAATTTAATTTGTTCTTCTGAATCAACAATTACTGAATGAACATAATCTAGTCTGAGTACTAAGTAGGCTTGGTCACTACTAGATGTCTACCAGCATTCCATAGTTTTCATCTTGAAATTTCTTGCTCCCTTTAACTTTGTGACTAGTCTTCCCCAGTTTCTCTTACCATACTTCTTATTCCTTCCAAGAAAATTTTACCACAATACCTAAAAAAAAGAGAACTCCAAGAATCACTTTACTGTTCCAAGTCCATCTGCTTGTAGGTAAACATCTGCTCAATAGGTACAGGAGTACATCTGAGCTATTAATAAAAGCTCTTTTTATAACTCAGTGAAGGAAATAGGCTTAATCATAAGATAAGTCATATGAATACTGCCATAAAAGCACTTACACTGTGAATATTAGGGGGGTCTAGGAAGAGGAGTGCAGCTACAGACTGCTAGTGATATGCAAAACTGCTTTTGGTTTAGTTAAAGTCTTAGCCTGTCCCTGAATTTCAACACAGGTGTGTAACCATTAGCTTAAAAGCAATTCCACAGCCCTTTTCTCAACTCTTTTATCTTGGTAGTGCAGACAGTATAGGACCAAGAACTGACTCCTAGTGTTGTATTAATCTTTGTTTTCTCAAAATAGGTATAAGAATTACAAGTAATTGACCCACAACATAACTTCATACACCACAAAGCAAAATGAAAGTAAATCCACCTCAGAGTATGTAATTTTTAACAGTGTTTTATAACAACTAAGTTAAGAGTCTTTTTTAACCACATATTGCTAAAACTCTAATGTTACCCTACTCCAAACCGAAAGAAAATAAGGAAGTGAGGAAGTAATACTAATCAACCTGATGTGTTTTATTTTTCTGACTTTTTTTCCACTTTTCATGCCATTGAGTCATCATTTATTTTGAAATATTTTGATACTGACTGTCCACCCATAGCAAGGTTTGTAGTCTATGTTCAGATTAACCATGTCACTAAAAAGTACCATTACAATTACATGAAAGCATAACATGAAGAACAACTATGAGAACTGTAGAGGACAACAAGTATCATCAGTAAAATGATTTTAATTATTGCATGTGTATTCAAGAATCTCTTACCTTCTCCATGTACTGTGAGCAATTTGACTCTTGCAATAAGTTCGAAGCTTCTTGTTTATAATACTCCCCTGTTTCATTCAGAAAAGGACACTCAAAAATTTCCTGATAAAACTAGAAGAGAGAATTTTTTTTAAAGGACAAATAATGTATATACTAGACTGACATTCTAAATTAAAAATACATAATCAGAAATGTGTATCTACCTTTAGGGGGAATTTTTTCTTATACTGTTCAACATGAACAAAGGAGTTAATAACCCCATGGATTACTTTCTGGTTTGGGTCTTCTCCACAGCGATCACTGAAATAGACAAAGAAGTATTTATAAGAATGCAGGTATCTGGTGTAATTCATCTACAGCCAAATGAAATAAAACTGGATGAAAACATGTTCCAGTAGACTCCCCTGCTCAAATTGGCAAAATTAAAGAAGATTCATCTTAAAATAAAAAATGCACTTCTTTCTCTCATATACATTTAAATTGTTGAGATAGTTATTCATAAACATCCAAAAGCATTTAAAGGTCATGAAATTTCCAAGTATTTGCTAAGGATCTTAAGTATTCCAAATGATATATTCTATGTAAGTAGTTTAAAAGCTACAGTAATTTCCATCTCTTATTTGTAGCCTTTATTACATAGACTACCTTCACACTCTTGCCCCTTCCAAAAAATCCATCCTTTTTACTAGCACCACAGCAAGAAGCATGCTGTTTTCTTTTCTGAATATTTACTAATCAACATATAGATTTCAAGTAGAATTAATAACACACCTAGCCCATTATGTCACAATATTTAATCATACATCATACAGAAAAGGAAAACTTTACATCTTCCAGTCAAGTTCTAAGCTTCAAATGAAGGAATTGAAGTGAAGAAAATGTTGTCTTTAGTTCCATTCAGGTGAAAATAGAAGTAATTAAAATGAGTGCTTTGCATGCTAAAAAGACTAGTGCTCAGTCCTTTGCAAAGACTGGGAAATAACCAGCATTCAAAACAGCACAGACTTCCTCTTAAAACATGAAAAGTTCTTTAAAAATTCCACTTTTCATATGTACTTTACAACTAAGTAAAAAATATTCTCTAACTCCTAAGGTGTTAAATAGGACTAAAATATGATTGACAAAAGTGTATTTACGATTAAGCATCGAAGACAAACATTACCATATACCCATATAGGTAGAGGTGAAATGGGAGAGAAGTAATTTTGCTAATGTCATTTATTTTGGTTTGTAATCAGGAAAAACTCCAGAGGATGCCTGTGAGCTGTGGAGGTTTACCAGGACAGCCACACCAGCAGACATTGTATTATGCACACGAGACCATCCTCATGTATTCACAACTGTCAATCACTGATATTGCTTTCAAACACTACTGCTTTCTCTGTTCTGAAAACTTGAGCTTAGGATAGGTGTAAAGAATTAGCTCTCTTAACAGATAATGAACAGTCACTGTATGGTTTTTGCAGCTTTATCATCCATTACAGATGAACTGAACTGATGGGTTCCAGCAGGGATGGTCTGATTTTTATTATCCATTACAAATGAACTGAACTGATGAGTTCCATCAGGGATGGTCTGATTTTTATTATCCATTACAAATGAACTGAACTGATGGGTTCCAGCAGGGATGGTCTGATTTTTTCACACAGGGAACAGGAAGATTTCCTCTGGTTGTGGGAGCCGACAATGGCATAAATCTGGGTTTGGGTACACGGAATGGCATCCTTGCCAACATCTCTCTGCAGGGTCTGGTTTATGATGGCAGAGGCAGCAGCACAGAATCACAGAAGGGAGAAGTCCCACATACCCTGGGCCTGCAGCTCCAGCCCAGAGGGGCCCAGGAGCACAGAGAGCTGCAGGGTGCATGCAGTCTGAACACAGGGCTAGGCCATGGAGCACAGGAAGGCACAGAACTAAAAGCTGAGCATATTATACAAATATATAAATGGGGCTCTGGCAAGAGACAGCCCAGCCCAGCTGGCACATGCAGGGCTCTGGACCTGGTACACAAACACAAGCAGCATCACTGGAGGAACAGCTCAAGCCCCAGCTTCCTTCTGCTCAGTTCACAGGCCAGTTCAGACCTTAGCCCATACATGTGTGGGAGGGGAGGGGGAAGTCATGCCCAGACCCAAAGGGGGACTCAAAGGAACATTAGGAAAGAACTGTATGAGTACAGGAGACATGCTCCATGGAAAAGATGGATGGAAGGAAACAAGCTTTTGAAGCAGAGGTCAGATGGCTCAAAGGTAATAAATGAAAACAAACCCAGCACAGAACAGGCCTTGCCGGCTCTGGCAGCCATTTCAGGTTTTTATTTACACCAATGGCAATCTGCTCCCAGGAATGTGTAGGGCAAATGTCAAAAAAATTTGACAGAAGTTTTAAGGATGACTTTCACAAAAGCTGTAGTAGTAAGAACAACTGCCACACTAAAATGGAATTGGTGACCCTGCAAAGGTAGAAGTCTATGAAACATTTATTTTCCTTCTTGGCAGCACTCAGCAAGCAATACAGATGCATAAAGCTACAGAGCAACTGCAACACAGGTTGAAGCAGGGATTTCATAGGGTATCTTGGGTACAGGAAAGGAATTTGGATAAAAAGTTCAAGTGCTAGAAACACAAATTCCACTAATTCAGGTGGTGACAAGTTATTTTTTTCTGAAAGAAATGGAGAAAGCTACAAAACACATAGACAAGACAGTTGCGCTGGTTTATATTAACTCCATCTTGTTCCTATCTTCAGGCTCAAGCTAACAGTGGATGTTCAACATGCATTGTACAGTGTATTACTACAGCCCCAAAGAAGAACATTTTTAAAGTTTCAGGTACAATAATTAGATATCAAATTCATTAAAAGAAGATTCCATCACTCAAAAGGGCTCTGCTGTGTCAGACCAAGGGTCTTTCAAGGCCTATTACCTACAGAATTCATTGTCAACTAGATGAGACTGTTCCAAACATTTTAAAAAAGAACTTCCAATAGCTTTAATTTCAAACAAATGGTACAGATAATGTATCAGCTTAGACAGGAATAGGTCCAGTTAGTCAGAAAGAGTTAGTTATTGTTAGTAGAGAAGTTAGTTAGTCTCAGTTAGTCTGTACTAATCACACAGTCATTTAAGATAGCACTTGAGAAATTTCCAAATTATTTCTGTTTAAGAATTTCATAGATTAATTTTCTCACAATTCAAGACCTTGTCAGCTTCCTGTAGTGTTGTAACAAGAATGCTTAAGTTAATATTCAGCTCACCTTGTAGGAGGAGTGCTTGGGCTAGAGGAAGGGGGATGAAGTCTTACACTCAGAACTCTGTACTAGGAGTGCAGTCAGACAAGACAGGCTTAAGTGATTTAAGAATTCTCTGCTGTTCAAGGGAGCTAATCCTGTTCCCTTTTGCTCAGTCACAGCCCTCCATCTCTCTTCCTTTGCTTTGGCACTCATCTAATGCTTTGCTGAATTGATTTGTGCCAGCCTGGTGAAACATTAGCCAAGATGGTTTTCTGTCACATTAGCAGTTCAGCTGGGTCACTAAGGGACTAGGTGAGCACCAAATTCAGCACATGAAAGGTAGAAGAGCACACAGCCTGCTCCTTTTTGGTGTCAGTAAACTCTTAGATCAGTTTAGCCATCTTGTTCAGCTGAGCCACAAGCCACTACTTGTATTTCTTTATTTTCATGTATAAAAAAAAAGTTTATTGTCAGTTTTAATGCATAATGTATTGCACAAGCTTACAGCTTCTAAAGGTTGGTGTGCTCAAGGCTGTAGTCAGAAATCTTCTTAAAAATCCAGTTAAATACACTGATAAAGTAACATTTGAAAGAAGAATTTGTGGCTCTGCTTCCCTATCTTTTCCACTACAGTAAGAAAGCTACTTTTATATGCAATAATTGACTATAGTGTTGGTTATCAACTCCACATACTGTTCTATGCTACACAAACTTCCTGCCTAGAAGTAGTTCAGCTACATTAATTTTTTTAAGCATTGAACCATGCACAAACAACCACTATGAGGAAGGTGTAGAATAGAGGAGTTTTTAAGCATATACATGTATTATCAATTTTATTAAAACTTTTAAGTTATATTATTCCCATGCATATTCTTACATGTCTGACAGATATAACTTATGATATGCACCTTGTTTAATCCCTGAATTACTGAACTCAATACTAAAAGACATTTAGATCACTTGCAGCAGCATCTTTAAAACTGCCTCTTAAAAACTGTATTGACCACAGAAATTACAGCAAAGAAAAGCAACAAGCTTATTGTTACATGCAAAGGCCATCCTCAGAATCCCCAGAGGAAGCACTGCATTTCATGACAGCAGGAACAAAAACAGCTACAAGAAATAGTTCTCTCATATGTAATTAATTAAATGATATGCAAGTGGCTAGAAGAAACTTAATATGAATTACTGGATGTATATTTTGAGAAGCAGAACTAAATTAACTTCTCTGAGATCACACAAAAGACTCCCTAATAAAGAATGGGGAAAAATCCGAATCCAACCATTAGAGACAAGGACCAAAGCTTTATTTCAAAGTTTCCAAATAGTTTAGTAACAAATTATTTCAAGTTGTTACAGTCTCAAGATCTAACACCTCCAAAAGCCAGTGACAGCCTTGATCTAAATGCCCTGGGGAGGGCTGCAATCAGCTTCAAGCCAAATACAGACCATTATTTTAAGGGGCATCAGATACCTGTTGAAAAAGGTTTTCACACACATTTCCACTCCCACCCACCAGTGAAATATATACATTAAGTAAGACAAGTCTCCAGCATCATTATGCTTGATGTAACAAAGGAGAATGTTCTTCACCATGAATTAGGCAATCTCCATTTAGTAAAAATAGTTGAAGTAAAAATGGATAAAGCACTATTAATCCTGGTTACAAAGGAACCATGATTCAACAAGTGAAAGCAAAGAAATACTTCCTGGCTTCAGAAATGCCATCCAAAAGAGACATCATATCCATTTCTTTGTTGTCAAATATTTTATTCAGGAATGAAAAATATAAATTTTTTTTAAACTATTAAAATTAGGTTTTCAATGCCTTTAGATTTTTTTCTGACCAAGTGCATGTTCAAGGAACCTCAACCTGCCAAAAAACCTCAGTTTACCTGCATCAGTCTGATCACCTGAGTAATCACTTTAAAAACCCCAATCATTAGACAACTCCAGAGTATTGTATCCTAAACAGTGGTAGGAGTGCAGAAACTGATGAAACTTCCAACTATGCACAAGATTTGCAGTAGATCCAGAATTTCTGTTTATTCATAAATTAGCTTCTTTAGAAGTTAAATAAAATTTTTAAATCAAAGCTTTACAAGTCCCAAGCTCTTTGGCTTTGTTTAGAAGTATTAAAAAAAAAAGATATTCAGAAATAAAATAATAACTTTCCTTCAAACTACAAAAATTAATTATCTTCATTTTATTCAAGTGAAACACCAAAAATGTTAAGTGAAGGTACTGATCTGAAAAACAGAAACCCAGAAGCTTTGTCACTTGCAAGAATTGTTCTGGGTTCCATGCAAACACAGGTTCTCTGGCTTTGGCAAATCTTTGCCCAAGGCCTGGTCCTTAATTTGACTGACAGCACAAAAGCTAAAGGCAGATAGCATCAGGTGGAGAAAAAGGCAAAAGGCATCCTATGGGAGCTGGACATTCATTCCAACTCCTCTCATATCCCTTGATAAGAAGGGTTGCTGAAACAGAAAGGAAAGATCACTGCTCTGTGGTTACAGGGAATTCACTGCCTTTTTCTACACATGAAAGCCACAAATACACAGCTACAACAAGAAAAGCTGATAGACCATCACCATCAGAAAAGAAGTTACCTTAGAAGAACCAAAACAGTTCTGTCAAAGTCCACAGATTTTCCAAGTAAATCAAAAAGTGCAATAGCCCCACATTATGTTAAAGCAAGAAACAATCAAACACTCACTTTTTTATTTCTCGGAGGAGCATCCGAATAAGGATGGCCTGCAGTGGCTCAATCATTAATTTTCTCCACATATCAAGAGCTAGCTGTCAGGACACAACACAAGTTTACATCAATAAAAAGTACATTTAAAAAAAACCCTAAAAACCACCACACCAAACTCAGAACAGTACCAAAGATGACACAATTCCCATTCAGGATTTTAAAAATCCAGTTGTTATGTAAGCTCTTCTTTCCCTAGTCAGGCAGTATGTGAATGTTGGCTTCCCAGCCTTCATTCTTCCTACACATCTCATAGACCTGATTCATTCCTTGGTTCTACTCCAAGTATTCTCAAATGCATGTAAGGACTCCAAACAAGGAGTTGGTTACAAGGGCAGATTTTGAGACTACACATAAACAAAACACCTTCACAGTTATAGGTAAGTAACATACCTTTCTAACCAAAGGGTCTGAATGTCTACAAACACCAGTATTTCTAACAATGATTGCAAAATAAGCCTCAGCCGACAAAAGGGAATTTCTCTTGGCCAATCTGTCAGAGGTCACAGTCAAAGATACAGAATCCCTTCATCCAACACACAAAGAACACCTCCAAACTAAGATGCTTATATCTTAAGCAAAGTCACTGGCAAGCTAACATTTGGCTTCAAATGGAATTCAAATCAATTCCAGAATTCATCAGTTCTTATGGGTGAAGCCATTGCTCCCAAGATATACCATTTTAAAAAACACAGTTGCAATAGTTCAAATGAGCTTTTGCACTTGAATCAAAGTCAGATTTAAAGCCCAAAAGGGATAATGTGATCCCTTATATACAGAGAATAACTGCACATAGGAGACCTCCAAAAACACCTGCCAGGAAGTAGCAGACTGGGAAAAAATAAAACTGCACAGTTCAGTAAGGACAGAGGGAATACTGCTTCTAAGAAAGCTTTGATACAACTAACAGGTCATTAGATTTAAAAATTAAACTATCCATCAGGTATGTCTTAACTGAAAGCAGGCACATAGCTATCAACTGCCAATTTGACTCTGTGAAATAAATTTCCTTTTTAAAAAGCAGACAAATCAACTTGCTCCAACTGTCACAGCTATTCAGCACCCACGCTGCAATACAGAAAGTAAACCTGACACAACTGCACCATAAGAGGCTAAAGGAGAGGTAAAGGTTTGCTTATAAATCCAAACACAGATCATGTTTTGAAACCAAAGTTGTCTTAGGAGTGATTTTCACTGTCTCATCTTGTGGAGAGTAGCTGGAGAACAGTTAAGACAACAGGAACTCATCCAGTACAGAATGAAAGAAGCCAGCTGAAAGAAGCCAGCTCTGCAGAGACAGAAGAAAAGGAGGGAAAAAAATTGGAAAAGAACTGACACATTTTGTGACTATGAGGTGAAGAGAAACAACCTCAGGTAGATTAATTCTGCAATGTGGTGTCTAGCATGGTCCTTCTGACATATGAGCTACCAGTGGGAAGCAAAGTAAATCACCTATTGGAATTTTCTTGTCAAACTATAGACAGATCAATCCAGCAACTTGATGTATTAGTTCAAGACAGTTTCTCCCACTTGAGAATAGGGACTGATCTTACTTCTCCATCTAGACTAGCAATACTGAACATGGCAGTTTTCTCCATTTTCCAGAATCTATTTCTGGAGGGAAAAAGCCCAGAAAGCACATCTTAAATATCTTCTAGCTCAGGGCTCCCACAGAGCCATTGAAAACTCAGGAGTTTGAAATCAGTGATAGGAACTCAACTCAGAAAAGCAGTGTCCTTCACCATGCATTCATAACATACAGAGAAGAAAAAAGCAAGCACTTGCAAGCACTGGCAGACTATTTTCATTAACTTATCTCATCCTGTATATTTCCTAGTACAATTACTGAACGTCTGGAACACTTGGGGGAAGAAGAACTGTTTGAAGCTGTGCCCACACCTCACACACACAGCTCTGCTCTCATGTATAGACCTACTGTTACACCCCTCAGAAGAACTGAGCAAGAATGGACTTGTTTAAGATTACTGAAAAGCTCCTGAAGTTTTGTTACCACACAAGAGTTGTGTTGAGACCGAAACTTCAGAACAGAGAGTGCAGTTCTGCTTCTAAAAATACTGGGCATTATTTCTGTAACTTCATGCTGAGACTGAAGAGAACTATACATAAAATAAACATGTTTGCCCTTGGGTAGATAAAGGCCAGATCATTTCAGTCATCTAAAATGGCATAAACAGTAATTTCCATTCTAAAGTGATGAACAACAAATAATTTGACTTCTGCTAGAGCCCTTGTACAATCCAAAGAATAAAAGATAGAATCCAACAGGAACCATAATGAAAGAGTGAATGCTTTCAAAACAAAGACTTGACAATCTTGCCAAGTGCCTTGTAGGTCAAGAAATGGAGCAATGAATTCACCAAAACAGTGCTGTAATTTAATACATGAGTGTAGGACTTAAGTCTCCATTACTTTTCAGGACAAAGGAGTGACTGCTATACACCTAATCCTATACCAGTTGTGAACAGATATTAACTTTACTGCCTTAAGATTCTCAAGAAAAGCTTTTATACTTTATCACATCAAGAAATAAAAGCCTAAAAACTAATATTTCAAGGGCTTCCAAAACCAGAAGTATACTGTTGCTTCAATATGTTTTCTAGATAGTGGTATCACTTAAGAATCTAAAGTTTCTTTGCAAAGTGTTTCTATTATCACATTTTAAACCCAAGTTTTCCAACAGTTTTCGTATTTGCTTCTTTTCCCTGCGAGGTCACTCTTATTTTTCTGCACCAAAACTGTAATCTCATTTTACAAGGGGAACAGTGCTTACATCTACAATATTTCTGTGACATAAAAAAGTGAAAATTCTCAAGGACAATGCTGATCTCATAGCATTCTGAATACTGTTTATAGCCAACTCCACTTTCAGAGATACCTACCTCTCCAATCTCCATCAAAGGTTCATTCATATCCACCCCTCCATAACCATACTGAAGATCAGCTTCAGTCAATTTGTTCTTCTTAATAAACTGTGTGTTGAGGTACCTATAGAAATAAGGATATCCTCATCAAAACAGGCAAAAATAAAAGGCTTTTTAAATTAAGTTCAGAATTATGGAATGTCTTTCACATCACAAAATATATCATCTCCTTAAACCAATGCCATTGCTATTTGTAGAAAAATGTTACAATCCAAATGACACTGAATGAATTTCCATCACATTAGAACAGTAGTGTTGGTAACAGATCAAACAGGAACCTGAAATACCACTGTCAGCATTTTCTTGGTGAGCAATATATTTGTGTAAGAATCCAACCTTTCAACATGCACTGCTTATACATCCATACATACATGTGTTACTCATACATACATATATGTGCAAAATAACTCCTAAACTCATTGATTAGTATTAGAGTGCTAATTGTTTATTTTAATGATAGAAAAACATGCCTACTGTTGTATATATTTAAGTTAAAAGTATTTCCTTCTACCTGTACGGTTTATTCTTCTATGTTTCTCCCAGACTGAAATGCAGAAGTACTGCTCATTTTAACAGGGCAAACTTTTGTCTGTTATGATCCCTTGCTCAGGTCATGGTAACTAGCTAACAGTCAGATTACAAATTTTAAAGAGAAGAATTGTCAGAAATTATTTTAAGTAACAGCTATAAAGAAGAAATGCTATAAATGCTATTTTGAAATTCAGTATTCACTACTGTATGCATAGTTTTTATACAGAACACAAAATGGATTCTGTGCAAGACCTGCTAAAACATCCCTCTTGACTCTCAGTATTCCCACATAACAAATATTGTAACATTTTTAAATGGAACCATTCTTTCCTTTCCCAGATAACTGGGAAAAAATTTGAATACATTTCCCAACGACACTTACAATATTTCTTATATTAGAAATGTTTAAATGAAGCAACTGAGATGGTTTCTTAAATTTCTGATCTAACCAGGAGTTTTGAGATGCTCAGTTTCAGACAGTGAGAAGAGCAAGATTACTGAAGCACTTTAAGAGATTCAGGCTTCAGAGGCTGCACCAGATCAGAAATGTCTGAACACTCTTGACATGAAGGCAAAAGCCAAGCAAAGGAGGAAAGGATGAACACACTGTGAAATCCTGTGAACTTGAAAGAATTTAGGACACCACAGAGTCCAAAGAAGGAAGACTTGTCAAAGTGCAGTGATGACAAACTGGAGTTCAGCAGCCACTTTCAGAGCTACTTTCAGACTCTTACAGAGTCCTGTAACCTGTGCTAGCATGGACACCAACCAGGAACTGTAAATGCAGGGCTCTCTAGAAGGCTCCAGGCCTCCATGTCATATAAAACCTGGGAGGACATTAGGAACACCTCAAACACCAGCCTTAAGCAGGCTCCTTGCTGGCATTTTCCCATCTTCCCCCATGTGAACAAAGCCAACAGCTGCCAATCTGCTTTTTCTTGTTACACTTGCTAAGAAGGAAAGTCCTGCACTCCCCTCACTTACTCTGTCTTCCATCAGCACGTACAAAGTAGCATGTACAACTAAAAATTGCTATACCATGATACGCTGGTATTATTATAAATATTTTAAAGACAAAATGGAACAAAGCAAAAGCTGCACCATGTGTGTTTAGTTTTCAGGATTTTATTACGAAAAATTATAGCACTTGGGGTTTGTTGTGGGTTTTTTTTAATGACTTAATTTCAATTTACTGGATAAGGAAACTTTCCCAATCACTTGAAATTAAAGTACACAGACTGGATTTTTTTAAAGTACCTGTGAAACCAGTTACAGCACAAAGACACTGGTAAGGCCTGTCCAGCAATGGTTTTATCTATTATTTATTTATTTATTATTATTTATTTATCTGAAGAAGTTTCTTTCAGTGTTCCTTATTCCATCAGTTTTGTCACCTTGGTTTAGTCGAGCACATGTGGGATTTTCATTTTCAAACTGAATCCAGATTTGTTTTCCTAGCAAAGTGCACCAAGGAGGATAGGTAAAATAAACCAAAATCAACACTGAAAAAAAGATTCAACTCATTTTCCAATTCCATGATCAATCTCACATTTTAGGAATTTTGCTCAAAAGTGTCTCACATCTGAGTAGTGTTTCAAATATTGCCTATCAGGTTAGAAGCAGAGATGCAAGCCTAATTAAATTTTAAGGGAATCTATTTGAAAATAATTTTCAGATTATCACCTGTAGACATTAATCAGTTTTCATTGCTGGAAGAATTATACAAACTAGAAGCTGGGATACAACAGAGTCAACTAAATTATGGTACTTGTTTCAGAGCAGGCATGCAATAAGAAAAGAACTCCAACTGATTCATAAAAAGTAGAATAACCTAAAGCTTTGACTCAAACCATGCTGGTTCAACTGCAAACTGCAGTACAGTGCCATCCTTGCAGAACTCCTAGGATTATGAGCTTATACACTGCAGGGTTGATTAGCACCAACATATTTGGCACTGCAACATCAAGCAGAATATATTAGTAATAAAAGAATTTTAGGAACTGTCTTGGATACTTACCTGTTAAGGCATTATTCCTTTTTGCTCATGTTCTGCTACCATAACTATATTCTCTCCAAAATTAACCTGAGGCATATTCATCTATTTCTCTCTCAACACTCTTCAACTTAACCTGCAGATCATGTTAAATTTCATGTTAATTTCAAAGGTTTAACAACTCTTTTGCAAAGCTTACCTGTATAAACAGTCCATATAGTCTGCCCCTTTGCTATACTCTTCCCAGTATCTGTGATACATAACCAGTACTTGTTCTTCAGCTTCCAGAACTCTCTGTGAAGGCACACACACCCCACACACCAGAATTAGTATGAAAATAGCACACATACTTAGGAAGTTATCATGGGATTACAATTTTGGAATAGTATTTGCATATTCAGAATTGTGGCAATGACCAAAAAGCTAACACACCTTAATACTACCAAGTTTTGGTAAGCCAGCTAGAACACCTGGACTTGCTTTATTTTGCATTTAAAAATAGTAATCTCTCTACCGAATTATTTTCTATTGATCTTTTCAGAAATACCTGCTTGAATAAGCCTGGTTCATATTCTCACATCAAACTGGTGAGATAACTCACAGAACCATTCTCTCACTGACACAGATCAGTTTTATATTCACCCAGCCACAGATCAGTGCATTCACCCCTGTTTTTAATTGGAAGAATTGACCAACTATAACCATTTAAAACCACTATGTCTTACTGGAGAGCCAAGTCCTCATGCTTACCAAGAATCACAGAATAAAACAAGATTAACAAAGCACAGATACATGTAAATGAAAAAAAAAAGCATTAAACTTTTTCAAATCTAGGCCCAAATCTTTTGAAATTTAAGCAAATCATCATCTAAAAAGCTAGTGAACTTATCAAAATAGATTCATACTTCAGGGAAGTTCAACAATTTAAACTAATTACTATGACTGGTGACAGGGGACAAGATCCTAGGAATTCAACTTTAATTCTCTCTAGAATTTATAATTTTAAAATCTGGCTCAAGCAGCAAAGAAGCCCATACAAAAAATGCAAAAAAGGGTAAAAAAATTATGAAAGAAGAAAGCTGGTAGATAAAACAGAATTGAGAATGCTTTACTCTGCTGCATGCATTTTGCAAAGGTTTTCCAACGTTATCTCAGAGACAAGTAGTGGATAGTCAATTGAAAAACCTGATGTATGCTTTCTGCTACTTCCCAAAGCTTCCACTATGCTGGCACCTGCCTGATTATCCTAAGTGAGCTCATTCAGCTCACTAAATAAATGAGGAAGAAATGATTTGGCAGAGTTCTCTGCTAGTTTAGTGAATTGATTTAGTCTATAGAGTGCCAGAATTATCCTCTCTGTAACCAGTGGAACTGCCCATTAAGATACCCAGTCTATCTTGTCAAATACTTGGTACCTAAGCATGAGGCCATTTAGCAGCACTCTGCAGAGTTTGCAATGCTTTGCTCCCCATAAAGACACTAAAGACACCAATAAGTATCTTATTTAAATCTACTTCTCTTTTTACTGATATAGATGGAGGCACCATTCATCTGTCCTATCTACTAAACATGATGAATCATAATTCTAATGAAATTTGCTGTCTTAGCTGATGAAACAGAAGTTAACTCACAGCTATACAGACATACAAATATTGTTGTCATAATAAATAATTTGCCATTATTTCCTCTCCTCCCAAGTGTTTGTGTTATCTCTCACATATTTCAGAAGGTTTTGTTTATTTTTTAAGAGTATATACAATCAGTTTCCAAGACACTAGAGCAGATACATTTCTGTTGAAACAGAAGGCTAATGACAAACTACAGAACATTTGCAAAATGAAGATGTTTCTCTAACTTGTTTGATTATAATCATTCAATGTAAAAGAAAGAACTTGCTTTTCAAGCCAATGAATATATTGCATAAACCATAACTGTTGGCTTAGAAAGAAAATTATTTCTTTTGTGTTGCATATCAATAGGTATCTATAATACCTGCCTACATTTGTGTACATGTTGTGACATGTGTTACATATTTCATATATACAAGTATTGTGTCTCTGCAACTCTGTCATCTGTGATTTAGTCTCATAAAGGCCTACAAAAAGTCAAAAAAAGGATGAAGAACACCTACATGGACATCAGGAACTGTACAGGTTACCTTGTGCAAATGGCGTACATGATTCTCCAAAAAAATTTTAGTCTCAGTATAAAGTCTCTCTCCAAGAGGTTCAGGATAAGCCACACACAAAGCATAAATGTCTCTGGGCTCAAAGTCAAGGTTTGTAATAAAGTGTGAAAATATATCAACAAAGTTTATGATTTAAAGAACCCTTTCTTCTCCACACATGCAGTTTAGGTTTTGGAGATTTTTTACATCAAGCAAAAAAGATAAAATGGATAATTTTCTGAAATTAATATAACTATTGGCTTGTGCAAAATCCAAGTTTACAGCATTGATAATAAATTTTAAATAGTGAATGCTGAGGCAATGTTAGAGCTAAGATCTTGAAACTTCTGATAGCCCCATACTGATGTGGCTCCTACCCTTTATTTGCCATGTATAATATACAATAATCTCAAGGTGAAAAGCAGCTTTCATGTAGCATTCTTCTGTATTTGCAGCCAACATGAACTGAAACTCTTCTCATACAATGGAAAGAAGCACTAATTAGATTAAGAACATGATTAGTCAAGTACAGAGCAGAGCAAACATGTGGTGAAGCTGACTTCAAGTTTTCCTTCCTGGAGTCCAAAATAACTTAGTGTCCCTGCATTTTGCCCTCACCTCCACAGGTAAAACAATTTCAGGGGACACTGAAAATTAAATAATCACAATGGTGGTGTGGATAAAACAAAGTCTGTATTCTTTTTAACTATTATTATAATTTTGGTAATCCTGTTTAGATCACAGCCACAAAAAACAGTTGTACTTGATAATTAAAACAGGCAGCAGCAACTTGTTAAGCCATCCTTAAGGTGGTTTTGTCCCTAAACTACCTTGCAGAGCTACACTTTTGGTTTGTATCAAGTTTTAAGAGTAATTTGAGGAAGATAAGTTATAACTGAGAACTTTGCTTTCAGAAAAGTCAAGCAAAGATTAGGTCAAGTTTCACATGAACAACTGTGGGAAATAGAGAGATTGTGCAAGAATTACTTTCAAACATGGCTTAAGCACTAAGCCTAGGCACTTTATAAAGCCAGCCATGGTAGAAATCAATAATTTAGTATATCACTTCAATCAAGGGAAGACACAAGATCTTTCCTCTAGTCTACCCTAAAAAAGCACATGCCTGTGTGAAAGGAGGTAGAGGACAGACAGTTGAAGAGTCACCTGCTAATCTACAGAACAGTGTCAAGCTCTCCTCACACAGCTTGTCCAAATGCATGTTTCATTTTTTATATAGAGTTACTACTCAAAACAAAGAAGATTCTGATGCAGGAGAACTAATTAGGAAAAAACCCTTTATCTGGCAACTGGAATCTGAGACCCCAACCAGAATCTAAATTAGAGTACATTATTTCACTCATATAGATCATCTTTGCTAGAATTCTCCTCAGAACAGCAAAAAGTGTTAAATGGAAACACCGTGAAACATAATGGGCAACCTCCACTGCTTTGTAACAGCAGCTACCATTGCACTACACCAGCTTGCAAAGTAATGACCAATAAAATATCAAAAACTTAAATAGTGAAGAATGAAATATTCTATTAAAGTGATTGAAAAGAATAATTGGTTTTTACACTTTCCCCTCTCCAACAAATTTTCTCAGTCTAAGGATGGTGAGTAGCCAAATGCATCCTCAATATAATTCAAGCCACAAGCCTCTTCATTATGCAAAGATTATTTTTGAGAAATTAATCTCAGAATTAGAAATCTTAATAATTTGCTCACAAGCAAAGGGGATGACTTTTTTCTCTTTTGATCCACAACTACACTACCTGAATCACCACAAACTACAGATCTCTACAACAAGAACTTACAAATTCAGAGGAAAGAGGCAGTCTTCACCACACCAGCACAAGAATATAGCAAAGGCAGTTTATTTGATGAAAGCACCAAACAAATATCTCTGATTTTGTGAGAATCTTGTGAACAATGAGAATCTTGTGAACAAGTTTCTCAGTTTTAATAATCCTAATTAAGAATGAAAATGGTATCTCTACTCCTTCATGAAAATGCACATCGTCCAAACATGCCTTTCCTTATTCTAGAGAACAAACTTTCTTACAAATGAAGAAAGCTGAATCTAGTACTCTTTCTTGACATTTGCCACTGTGTTTAATATCAGCAGATACACAAACTAAGAGCTTAATCACAGAAGCACTTGAGCAGGCACCTAATCCTCCTGTATAAACCAAATACTACTTGCTAGATATCAAGTTTCTCTGGAATTATACAAAAGAAAAGTTATCATGAGACTGGAATATATCTGACTGAAGCAAAACTGCTCTTTCTTGCTCAATTTATACTTGCTCTTTATGCATTTTATCTTTGAGTCCTGAATCCAAATTTAAGTGTCATCTTCAAAGTGTTCTGACTCTCTAAACAAAAATAAATCTCCGAAAAAAATCTCACTAATCATCACTGGTATTTTACCCCATAAACTTAAAGCATATTTTTCCTGTACTGTTGTCCCATAGAACAACAGGAAGAAGACTTTACTGTTCAATAATTGATCTTTAATGGTGAAAGCCATCTGTTCTTCCAGTTCAGCATGCAGTTTTGCAGGGTGAGAAAGGCCAGAGGAAGCTGCAGCCAAACTGCTGCCTAGGGGCCTTCACTCAGTATTGAGAACAAGAACATCAAAACCTTTCTGTGACCCTTAAGTGCTTTGGTAGTTGCTATTTGAGGGGTATTACCCAGCAATGGGAAACTGAAGCGCTTCCAAACTAAGAAGGAACAACAACAAAATTACTAACAAGAAAATACTATATCCAAGGCTATAAAAACTCACAAATATTGTCATTGGAGTTAAAAAAAACACCTACTTAAGACTTCTCTGGGCAACCAGTGTAGAGCTTTGCAAAAATTTCTATTTATCAATCTTCTGTAACAGAACCAAAATTTGTAGAGATTTTCAGGACTTAGTCGGAAAGAATCACGACCATACGAACTTTATTTACTCTTCCTTCTTGGCCAGTTGTTTTTAAAGATAAATGTTTAAGTTTCTGGTTCATCATAGGGTCCTTGCAAAACAGTTCATCAGAGGAGGGAGAACAAATTTGGAGAAAAAATGGTGAAAAAAAGCAGATGGCCATGCTGCATACTTTTAAAATAATTCTGTTTGAAGAACAGCTGTCTCTGGGAAACTGTTGATTTTATGTTAACTTATTGGGGTAGAAATCCCAAGACAAAAACAGGAAGAGCTTGATGTTCTACCTGTTCAAAAAAGTTCTAGTTAAAAGGCAGTTATCAAAGTACAGAGGAACCATCTACCACTCCAACTAAGCCTTAACTTAAAAAGCACGCCTATGCCCACTGAGCAGTCCTGAAAGTGATACAATGTATTCACAACAACACCTCAAACAGAGACATAACTGTCACTCATTTACCAGACAATGAAACAAGTTCATACACATTTCTTTCTGCAGAGAATCTTAAAAGGAAATCTGAAGGTCAAAGGTGGATCAGGATGACTCACATTTTAAATAAAGTGACATATGGTCTTTCAGGTGATCTTTTCCAGAAGATTTTAACTCTTACAACATTGTGGTTCCCAGCTCATTGCCATTCTAGCATTTCAAATATGAGGTAAAATGTTTATTTAAAGATAAGCCATGTTTAACAATAAAATTACCGTAAGTTACAAAGGAAACACTATGTTAAGACAAACAAGTTCTGGGGAACTAGTGGGGCAAAAATTAGTTCTAGAAGTGGAATATGTGCAGTACAAGCCTGTCATCCCTAAAATACTGTCAGCTTCCATACTCCACTGGATCTCAGCTGCCCCAAACAGCACAAGGAAAAGCTAACACTTCTTAGAATACACTGATGCAGATTGAAACAGTGATTGCTTGCTGTATCTTATCCTTTGTTTCCACATCACTGTGTTGACTATCCAGTACAAAGATCAACTGATACTATAATCAATGAAATAACCTGTATGGGTTTTACTGAAAAAATTAATGGGTTTTATTGAAATAATTTGCCATCTTTCTATTGTGCTGATTAAGCAATAAGAAAGAGTTAATAGAACATTTCCTTTAGAACTGCTGTAGATGTTTAGAAACACTACTCCAATTAAATTTAAGAGAGAATAAAAAGTTAACAAGGAACAAGATGACGTATTTTCTAAATACCAATTTTTTAAAAAAATACCCTTAAAGTCTTCCTTATGTATAAAACCTAGAAAAAGCTTTTATTCCAGCTGTATAGAACTACCAGTTCCAAGTTGTTAAGCATGCATTGAGCAGCTTGTGTTAAAACACCAAGTTTGGTTATAGGAAGCAGAAATACTAAATAACCAACACTCAAGCTGGAAGTTACACAAACTCCTTGGGCCATTCAGCCACAGACAATAAGCCAAAAGGCTCATGCCTGTGCCAAATCAGGCACTAATAGTGCCACTTTCCAAGGAAAGTAATTAAGAGATGATACTAAGTAAGGTCTTAAGAGTTACATGCCAAATGATTATTCCAAGACTGCTCCTGAGTCTGCTATTCATAAGCAATCCTTTTCTGATGTTCAATCAACTGGACTAAATCCCAAAAGAGGATCAACAGCAAACTCGTGTGCAAGGTCTCCACATAAGAAGTTGTAAGCAAAACAGTGTGATGAGGAATCAATACAACATCTGCAACAATTCTTATTTTATATTCAAATCTGTTTTAGATACCCTTGTTAAAATGTTTAAAGTTTTAAGCTGCAGAATTTAACCACCTGATAAAGACTGAATTATGCAATCCTCAAAAACTGCTTGGAAAGAATGACTGCAGAACAACTTCTCAGCATGTAAGTACCCACCTAATTAGTTCAAATTTTTTTTTAAATTCTGGAGTCACTTGAAGTTGACTTCAGTACAAGGTGGCACATCATGCTCCCAGAAATTAATTACAGAATTTTTAAATGAAAGAGCTCTTTAAGATTATTACACCACAAAACATCACAAGAACTAGGAGCTATGTACATATACACATACACATGCTCAAAACACAGGCACATGGGAAAGCAATTCTGAGAAACAGTTAACATGTTCAGAATGAGATGAGACTTTGGAGTCAAGCCTCCACCCACAGAATAAGCTTATCTGGTAAAAACTTATGTCTAAGGATCTTCTCAGGTGCTTCTGTTTTCACCCACAAGAATTAACATATCAATAAATATATCTAAACTATTCTTCCCCCTTGCAATTAAACCCAACTGTGACCAATCCCTGCAGAAGAGGTGCAAAGCCTCCTAAAATTCTCCAATTATTCACCACGATGTAATGGCTAATGAATATAAAGACACAAGGCACAGTATAACTGGTTAGAAACATTATACTTCTTTTAAAAGAAGTACACTGAAACTTAAATATTGCAAAATATTACAGGTCCATTTTACATGTAAAACACAAACCTTTCCTCTACAACAATGTATGTACAGCTGTGACTTGAACAGCAATATCATACAAATGCAGAAAGAGTAGTTATTCTTAAATATAGCTTAACTTTCATGAGTAATAAGGCAGTAACAGTGGAGGGAAAGGAAGAAAGGTTTTTAATAAATCCTTGCTGTGGAAATGACTAGTATGGTAGTTATCAGTACAGTTAGAAATGCAAAGAAGAGGGAGAAATCTTTACACAGAACAACCTCATCATCCCCCACATCCCAATTTTAAAGATATGCTCTCTGTCTTGGGTATTTCCTCGGCTACACACAAACACTTAAACATACAAGAAAACCTCATTGTCAGAATAGGGGACCTTCAATACCTGTAAGAACAGCTTCAGCATAAGCTAAGTATTAGAGCTTCCAAAAGTGACTAAAACTGAGAGCAGTTTACTTTTTATCAGCATGGTGATTTGCACATAGATTACTTCCCAAATATGCAGAATTTCCCATCCCTTTCAACTTATTCACAGTCCTAATAACAGGTGCAGCCTAACAACAAGCTGCTCAAGATCACTGTTATATAACACAGGTTTACTCTGTGCTAAACACATCACACAAACACATTAAGTCAGATTTTTCACTTAAAGGATACGAGAAGCGATCGTTCCACGTTGCTCTTTCAACATAATCCAACATCACAACAGCTTTAATCGTTGTTAGAAGTTTGTTCCATGTTTCATCAAAGTCTACTACTCGTGGTTTCAAGGACATTGTGGGGCTTTAGTGTTAATCTGTAGAAGAATTAAACATGTCAGAAAACATTGCACAACCATTAAAAAAAAATACACTTCCTTTGAATTTTTAAATTTAAACTTTGTACACCATTGCACCACTATGAGTGAGTGACACAAAGAACACCCACCCCCTCCAAAATGAAGCTCACAATCCCTCATTTTTAATGCTTTGGAATGGAACATTATTGTTCCATAGGCATGAGTAGCCTATAACAAAACACCAACTAATCTAACAGCATCATGCTTTGTAAAGTTCATTATCTCACCAAACTATTCATTTAAGAGTGTCACATGAAGAAAACAACTTTCCTATAAATTTTGATTTGTTCACTTTTATCACTTTTATTCAAAGACTGTTTCAACTGTATCTAAGAAAATTTGGGGTAAGAACAAACTAAACTATTACCAGAGTATCTGAAATTCCTACTGTCAGTTTGTTCAGCCTATGTTCACCTTAGGCATTCATGAGACATTTTTGGTGTTACATTTGAAAAGCCACAAAACCCAAAAGAGCTTTGATTGGGATGGAAAAAAGAAAAACACAGGGCAATATGCAGAGCTTGTGCAGCTTACTGCACTGTGCAATAGGACAGTGACATCTTTCAAGTAAGACACGGCTTGAAGATACAGAAGCTGTGCTAGTAATATCCTAGCAAAAACAGCAGAAGAGATTTATTGCAAAAAAAACCCCACTCAACATTAAATTATCTAAATAAAACTAGGGAAAAATAAGGCAATTTTAAAAAGAGACAACTGTGAAGGCCTCATTTCCACTAATCTAGAAAGGACCTGATGTGTGACATTCCATGCACAAAGCAAGTCTAGCTCCTGCTCAGAAACACGACATTGTAAGACTACAATAAAAAGTGGAAAGAATACTTCTATTTCCATTTCAAACAGATGAACAAGTGACTCGTCTTTCCAAAATTTCAAGGTCAGAAGGGAAAGTAGAAAGCTAGTGACAGACTTTGAGCCCAAGAGGCAGACCTCATTAAGGGAAAGAATCAAATGTCACGCTAAAAACTGCTTAGCAACCAGCTTACTACCTTAACCACTACCATCTCTCACAGGATAGATCACTTCTCAGTTTAAGAAAAAAGCAATAAAATCCGATGCAACTTTTAGCATGCATACAACCCACCCCTCTAACTAAGCTCCTCAACTGCAGTATATGTTGTGATATTTGTAACATGGTTATTAATTCAATCCATATATGTCAGCAGGAGCTTACACAGAAAAATCAGTGAGAAGTGACAAAGCAAAGATCCACCAAAGACAGTAAGCTGAAAAACACACTGATGTATGTTTCATAGAAACGTGAACCTCAGCAGAGGCACACCACGTTCACTTCCAGGACGGGAGAGGGGGAAGTGGTAATCTTCAAAAAGCCCTAATACCCCTCTTATGGAAAACTCGAGAGCATTTCCAGCTGGCCCCAAGAAAAAATAATCATGGTCCACAAAAGACATTAAAAATCATAGTAAGTGCTTGTGGTAATGAAGCTGTGCTTGTGCTACACTAGAAGTTGCTGTCTTGGAAACACACGTGGTACATCCAAGGTAAAAGAACCCTTTTTTCAAAGACAAGCAAAACCAAGGGGAAGAAGGAGGGGAGAAGAAAACGTTCTCCCTACAGTATATCCCAATGTGATACCAACATGGTGATCCCAATCAGTATCACCATGTTCAGGATGATTAAAACCTAATACTGTGTAAAGCATCCACATGGTCATCCAAGAATTCTGGAGTTAAATAGTTTAAGACAACTGTTACTTGGCATTCTCCTACAACTTTCATGGAAATATAAATTTAAATGTGTTTTACAGACATTTTAACAAGTATGGTGTAACTTTTACTGTAAGACACTGGGTTTTTTGGGATATGCTGTGTTCCAGTGTCAGGAATGCACAAGCCCACCAACTTCAATTATTAAATGTCTTGTATTGATCATGGTAAGAACTATAGTATGGCAGAATATCTACCCTAGGGTTTAGACTATTAGAGCGTGGGAAGCCATACCTGTTTGATAAGCCCTAAGGTAAACAGATGTTATTGAAACATATTTACTCGGCACGATAATGAAAGGATGCTGCTTCCTTCGCCTCATTCTTTAAAACACAACACTGTCATACTGCACATATTTGTTTACACAAATAAACATAGCATTCTATCCAGCATCAAAGAACGCCCCAAATTTCCAAGCTGTTTAACCACCTCGATAAGCAGCATCGCAAGCCCGTGGCGGGTGCGCAGCCACAGGCAGGAGCACTGGCGTCAAACAGGTGACCAGTGCTGCCCGCCCCCGCCCTGTGCCCCGCTCCCACCTTCTCCTCCACCAAAACAAAAGCGAAACTGGCGGAGGGGGCAGCCAGCGGATAATGAGCGGCCCCGCCGGAGAGGCCGCACCGCGCCCTCGCCGCGGGGCAAGGGCAGGACCCGGGGCAGGACGCGGCGGGCGGGCGCTGCCGCACAAGCACGGCCGGGGGATGGGGGCCCGGGGCGGGGGCCAGCGGCGGCTCCGGGGCCGGACGGGGGCAGGGCCCGATCGCCCCCGCGCACACCCGGCGGGGTCGGGACCGCCACCTCCCCGCGAGCGCCGCGCTCCCTCCCCTCAGCGCTGCGGGCGGGCCGGGCCGGGCCGGGCCGGGCGAGGGCGTTACCTGGCGGCCCGGGGCCCGAGTCAGCGACCCCCGCCCGGCCTCCCTCGCTCCTGCCCTCGGCCGCGGTCGCTGCCCCGTTCCGTCCTCACAGCGCTGCCATTACCCAAAGCCGCTCGCACCCCGCCCCTCCGCCGGCGCCGCCACTGCCGGGGTCGGGCCGCGGCCCCGCGGCCCCGCTCGGTGCTGTCGCCGCCGCGCCGCCGCCTCACCCGCGGCGCCGCCGCCCCCGGGTTCTCCCCGCCGGGCTCTCCCCGCCGGCCGCAGGATGAGCTGGGGCCGACGGGTCCCGGCGCTCCGTCACTTTCCGATCGCAGCCTCCCCCGCCGGCGCAGCGGGGTTTGGTACAGCCTGCACTGTACGGCGAGCGCGGGCGGTCGCATTTCCCAGCGGCGGGGCGGTCGCCGCGCACGCGTCACTCCGCCTCCATGGCGGGACCGTTCTCGTCCCGCGCCTTCCCGACATGGAGTCGCGGGGCACGGGGGCTGGAACGGGCACGGGGCCTCTCCCGCGGGCGCGGCGTTCCCGGGCTTCGTGTCAGCAGGTCGCCGTTACCTCAGAAGGAGGAAGTGTCCCCGTCCCACCGCCGGCCCCAGCAGGGAATTTCCCCAGCTTCCAGCGCCCTGCTCCGGTGCGGGACGCCCCGGGCAGCGCGCCGGCCCAGGCTGCGTCGGCAGAGCGCCCGCCGTCCCCGTGGGCGCCCCGGCGGAAAGAAAGGGGCAACACAAAGTTGTTGGGTGGGAGTAACAAAGTAGAATCGCTGTGGAGACCAAGTAGCCGGGCGTGCTCACGTGCCCCGGGCGCACGTGCGCGCTGTGGGAGCCGCGGGCATCGCGGACACCGCGCCGGGCCCGGGAGAGCGGAGCAGCTCTGAAAGGGATTCATTTAGAGCCCTCAGTGCAGCCCTCCGTAAGAGACAACAGTCCTCTGGAAACCAGACATTTATTTCTGAAAATTCTCTATTGTTCAAACGACTCAAAACTCACGTCAAAATAATTGCCTTCTCTGTTTTCAAATCAAGCCCTTGCCCATTTAATTTCCAGTACTTGCATCTTTATCTTTAAGCCTTAATGCTTTCCTTTGTGTTCTCTTTTAAGTGTGTTTTTATTATCTCCTTCTAGACATTTTAAAGAGCGCTTCAACTTCCTCTGTTTTCACCCTAAACCCCTTTATTTTTCTATTCTGCTACTTTAACAGAAACTAGCAGAGTTTAAAGCTCTTCTATTTGCTGGTGGGGAGATGGGTTGTAACTTTAAGCTTTTGGGTGCTTGTTATTTTCTGCAAGTGTTAGATTGTATCTGTGGCACTTTCTCATTTTTTAAGGACTGAAGGCTCTTTTTTAGTGGTAGTGTTAGTCACAAGCTTGTGAGTTAAACTCTTAGAAGTTCAAATAGATGCTGGCACAATTTAATAATGCTATTTAACCATGCTGTGTGAATGTATTAATTGTACAAGTTCAGATATCACAAGTTAGATGGCCGTTAATGAAAAACATCCTTATCTCTACACTACCCAAACATTACACTGTACATATTTTATAAATTTCTGTTATATGAGGAAGTTTAGTCCTGAGTTAACTGTTATAAACTGGAAACAGATACAGGAAAGGAGGTATTTTTCAAAACTAATAATTTGGGTTGTTCAGCGTGGAAGAATCATGGGGCAATTTCCTGAAATTATGAATATTCACAATAAGCACAGACTTTAATTAGGTACCAAATCTGCAACTATTCTGCACACTCTGTTCTACAAGGCTGCAGTTGAGGAAGCACAATTAGGGAGTCACAATTCAGAGGAAGAACATGAACATTCATTACTGCTTTTATGTAAGGTATTTAAAAACTTGATTTAAATGTATTTAGGAAATAACAATTTAAATGTATTTAGGAAATAACAGAGAATTATTTAGGAATTCCAGAGAATTACCACCTGAAAACACAGAACGGGGTATTGCAGGAGTCGGATGAGCAAGCTGAGAGCATTACTCTGTGTGTTGCTAAGGTCATCTCCTTAGTGCTGCTTGTGCTTCCAAAAGAACAAAGGTTCCCATACAGTCTATTAAGAAATAATGATAATGTATCTGCCAAGAGCAAGACTAAAACTTGTGTGTATGCACCGATGCTTTATGTGAGTGGATACATGATTTATGAATCAGTGAGTTCAGTTCAGTGCTAGCTCTGTGGTGGGGCTGT